TTGAACGATTTTTTCCTAGTTAGAGAAAAAGTGAGGGTTACATTGAGAGCAGCATTGAAACTTAAACTTGGCATTGTCAGAGTCTTCACGTCCTGCTGTGCTTTTATTTGCAGTTAAAGTTTCATGGGGGGTTCAGAAATCACAGCTATTCCCAGCTTGGCTTGAAGCAAGCCCCGGGAAGTGGCACACGTTGACATTTGTGTGTAATGAGGGGCACGGGCGCTGGGGTTTCACCCCGAGCTGAGGCGGCCGCGGGGTGCTGTGGGGTTTTGGGGCGCAGGGTCCCTTTTTTGGGGGCCAGGGTGGTTTGTGGGGGTGGCCCGGTGCTCAGGTGCCCTCTGTGCCCAGAGCGGGACGCTGAAGGCGGCGCTGCTGGACTACACCAAGCGCTGCCGGCCCGGCGACAGCGAGAAGCACAACATGATCGCGCTGTGCTTCAGCATGTGCCGGGAGATCGGCCAGAACCACGAGGCTGCCGCCTGCACCCAGCTCAAACTCATCGAGTGCCGGCCCTGGGGTGAGCGGGGCCCGGGCAGGGACGGGCACGGGGGTCCCTGCTGGGCTGGGGTCCCTGGGGTCCCTGAGCTCCCTGAGCAGCGTCCTGCGTATCCTCAGAGCGCTCTGACACTCGGGGCTTTCCTGGTGTGACATTCCCTGGGGCAGCTACAGACACAGCCGGGCTTCCCTCAGCCCAGGATGGCTTTGTGGGGCACAGCCAGGCTTCCCTCAGCCCAGGATGGCTTTGCAGGGCACAGCCAGGCTTCCCTCAGCCCAGGATGGCTTTAAGAGGGCACAGCCAGGCTTCCCTCAGCCCAGGATGGCTTTAAGAGGGCACAGCCAGGCTCCCCTCAGCCCAGGATGGCTTTGTGGGGCACAGCCGGGCTTCCCTCACCCCCAGGATGGCTTTAAGGGGGCACAGCCATGCTTCCCTCAGCCCAGGATGGGTTCGCAGGGCACAGCCGGGCTTCCCTCAGCCCAGGATGGTTTGTGGGGCACAGCTGTGCTTCCCTCAGCCCAGGATGGGTTTGCAGGGCACAGCCAGGCTTCCCTCAGCCCAGGATGGGTTTGCAGGGCACAGCCGGGCTTCCCTCAGCCCAGGATGGTTTGTGGGGCACAGCTGTGCTTCCCTCAGCCCAGGATGGTTTGTGGGGCACAGCCGGGCTTCCCTCAGCCCAGGATGGCTTTAAGGGGGCACAGCCAGGCTTCCCTCAGCCCAGGATGGCTTTGCAGGGCTCTGTGAAGTGCTGGGTTTGTGTCTGTGCCTGCGGGGCGAGCTCTGCAGCGTGGGCAGCGACACCAGGAGCTGTGCCCAGGGATTTCTGAGTGCATCTGCCACAAACGTGTGGCTGGGGTTTCTTTCCAGCCTCCAACCACTCTAGCAGGCTCCAGCAAAGCTTTGGTCCATTAACCGAACAGGCAGTGTGTTCCTTCCTGCTTTTTTAATATGTAAATTTTGGTTTAGTTTGTTGGTGCTTCATGAGACAACACCAGGGACAGACTCGGCACTGGGAGGGAGTTTTGTAGCTTACTTTGTCACCTTTAGAAATAATTGGTTATTCCTTCCTTTTCCCTGTTTCAGAGGAGTCTCTTCAGGATGTTCCAAATTTAAAGAAGCTGCTGCTGAAAGCTGTGACTCTCTTCATTGATGCAGCAGAAAGTTACTCCAAGGTAAAGTGAGGTGGAATGGGCTGGAGAATCTCCTGGGCTGGAGCTGCCCTGGGCAGGAGGGATCTGTGTGGCCAGTGGCACCAGCAGCGTGGCTGGATCTGAGTGTGCTCTGCTGGCCCCTGCTCAGGCTTTAACAAACTGGGCTGGCAGAGAGCAGAGCTTAATGAGCAAGGATAGAACAATTACACTACTTAAACCCAAGCGTAATTATGGTGCAAGTGTTTGTGGGACTGAAGCTTTGGTCAATGCCAATGGAATATGGTGAATGTGAAGCTGCAGTGCTCTGTCCTGCTCTCAGGCACTGCAGATGATCTCTCAGGGATGCTGCCAGCTTTCCCTGGAAGCTCTCAGCTGCTCAGGCACTGCAGATGATGTCTCAGGGATGCTCCCAGCTTTCCCTGGAAGCTCTCACTGCTCTGTTCCAGGACTCGTGTGTGCGGCAGGCGCTGCGCTGCCGCCGCCTGACGCGGCTCATCACGCTCCAGCTGCACTTCCTGGGCTTGGGGCAGAGCACCAGGATCATCAACCTGGGCAGGCAGGACCTGCCAGGGGCCATCCTGGCCTTGCCCAGGTTCTACCAGGTGAGCTGGGCTCCCTCGGGGCCCTCCTGTCGGGAACAACTTGGGCACTGCAGCTCCTCCTGGCCTTGGATCATGTGGCTGTTAGCCTGACCTTACATCCTGTGGGATACAAGGATGGAGAGACAGGACCCAGGGAATGGCTCCCACTGCCAGAGGGCAGGGATGGGTGGGAGATTGGGAATTAGGAATTGCTCCTGGGAGGGTGAGCAGCCCTGGCACAGGTGCCCGGAGCAGCTGTGGCTGCCCCTGGATCCCTGGCAGTGCCCAAGGCCAGGCTGGATGGGGCTTGGGGCAGGCTGGGCTGGTGGAAGTGTCCGTTTGGGGGCTGAGGAAGGTTGTTCACAGTGTTTTGCTACCCTGTATTTCACAGCTGCTCTCAAGAACAGCAGCAAGCGGTGGGTCGAACAGAAGATGCCCGGTAGCGAGTTCTCGGTGTGGGATGTTGTGTGCCATCCCCCTCCCTGATCCTGCTCTCCCTGCAGGCAGCCATCGTGGCCGAGGCCTACGAGTTCCTGCCGGACTGGGCTGAGGTTCTGTTCCAGCAGGTGATCACCAGGGGCGACTTCGTGTACCTGGAGGAGTTCAGGCAGCAGCGGCCGCTGCAGCCCGGCCTGTTCGAGGAGGTGGCCAAGAAGTGAGTGAGGCTCTGCAGCTTTACCTGCACAGGGCCCTGAGAGAGGCAGCAGCAAAGGGTTAAACTGTTCAGCCTGTAAGGGGGACTTGAGATGGAATTCCTGGAGGGTTTGGGTGGGAAGGGACCTTAAAGCCCATCTGGTGCCACCCTTGCCATGGCAGGGACACCTCCCACTGTCCCAGCCCCATCCAAACCGGCCTTGGGCACTGCCAGGGATCCAGGGGCAGCCACGGCTGCTCTGGGCACCTGTGCCAGGGCTGCCCACCTCACAGGGAAGGATTTGTTGGTAGCCTTGGTTCTTGGCACAGCATGGAAGTCATTCTGATCCAGCCTCGTCCTTGAGCTGGACAAGGAGGGAGCTCGGGGCTGGGCAGAGCAAATCCTTAAAATGAATCAGAGCAAATAAAGAACCAGGAGATTCAAGTGTAGGTGCTGAGCACGACCTCCTGTTGAAATGCCATTTTTGCAGGCCCAGAGCAGGAGTCTCAGGGCCCTGGGAAGCGTCTGTGTCTCAGTTCCACGTGGCACTGTTGCAGGGTCAAACAGCAGCCCCCGGCCGACGCTGCCCTGAGGAACCTGAAGCGGTTCCTCACCCACTGCGAGGACATCTACACCTACTACAGGCTGGCCTACGAGCACAAGTTCTATGACGTGGTGAACTCCCTGCTGAAGGACCCTCAGACTGGCTGCTGCCTCAACGACCTCTTATCCACCTGAATTCCAGCTGAATTCCAGCCCAGAGCACAGACTGCAGGGTCACTGCTGATTTACACAGATTTGATCCATGGCCTGCTCACAGGGCTCTGCTGCTCTGTAAAAATTACTCCAGAAAACTGCACAAGGTTGTAAGTAGTTAAATGCTGACTGTGGCAACCTAAAATTGTGTTTTGTATAATAAATCTTATTGTTTCTAAATTACTCGAGTCACCAGCAAACACTGACTGGCCCAGGTGGGGGTAAAGCAGAGATCCAGCAGCCCTTTAACTCAGGGGCAAGAGGGAGGGAGCAGCCCAGGGATTATATCTAGAGGCTGAAACAGGCGCAGAATGTGCAGCCAAAGGCAGTGGAATAAGCAGAATCATTGCAGGTTTCAGGTACCCAACACAATAATGTCTTCTTTGAGTCCAGGCTGATCTCTAAAATCTTGTACAGCCTTAAACAGCCCATTCCTAATTCTGCTGTCTTGGAGTAAAAGAAATAATCAAGTGCAAATGTATTTTTTACAGTTATTAAATACAAATTCCTTTCCAGGACCGGCCATGGGCATACTCTCAGCACAGCTCAGCTTTGCAATTCTCCCTCTTCAGGTATTTTTCCTGTCAGGGCCCAAAATGCTCCAAGGCCAGCCTGGTGAAGTCCTCAATAGTGATTTTTATTAAATTAGTTGCTTTATAAAACATTGCAGATGTTGTAATTGTTAACATAACAATTTGCCCAACTGTAGGAACTGCTGCAGTTTGCTAAGCAAGTTTGGTTTTTAATGAAAGAAAACGGCCGAGTCGTGAGAGACCCACCACAACCCAGGAGAGCCCCAAGGAAGTCATGTGGCTTGGTTTTTTCTTTTACACTTAACCCCTTAATTAACTGTTAAAGAACACCCAACCCAGACAGCTGCATTAGTAGAAATTCAAATGAATGGAACTAAATAAACTTCATCCTTGAGACACAAGTGGGTTTTGCCTTGCTCTGCCCCACCAGGTGCTGTTCAGGTGTCAGGCTGTCCCAGGGGACAGGCTGCCAGGTGCAGTATTCCACACTGAAGTTAGCAGTTCCCCTCCCAAAATACTGAAATCCTCAAGCTCTAACTCAAGACAAAGCGACTGGAACTCTACGTGCACACCCTGCCCTTGCTGCAAACTGCTCTTGCTCAGCCCTAGCCCTGGAGCAGGGACAGTTAAGGCCATGTCATGGAGCTGTGCTGGTTATAATCCTTCACCTTGTTCCAATTCCTTCCCGATTTAGTGGCTGTTGCTATGAATAGCAGCAGTGCCCATTAGCAGGATTTTGGGTTTTTAACTGCAATTTTCAGCCCTTTTCTGTTCCACCCCTGCCCGGAGCTTCCGCCCGGACCCGGCACCTCCAGCCCCCAGCACACAGATACTGCAATTCTGATTGTAGCATTTGGCAGAATTTAGAGGAAGAAAGGTTGTGCTACATGTTTAAGGGATTATGGGCAACAGAAAGACAACAGAAGGGAGATAAATGTCACATGAAGTCTTCAAAGTCTTGTACGTACTCGCCGTCGTAGCCGCCGTAGTCAGCCAGGTCGTCTTTCATCGTCGCCTTCAGCCCCCCGCCAGGCACGACCCCTTTTTTCTTCTTTTTGGCTTTATTCTGTGCAAAAGGACGAGGGTGGTTATTGGACAGGCCCAGAGCTCTGTCATTAGCCCAGCCAGGCTCATCCCAGTGCACTGAGCAGTCACAGCCCTGCACTGAACGTGGCCCTGCCCGTGGTTTCCACCCAACACGTTTTCCTAGGAAAGCTGTGACAGTTCCAGCTGTCCCCAGCTCCCTGCACCACAGCCCTGCCCCCTTTGCCTTTCATCCTGTTTTCCCTGGACTCTCAACAAGTAATTAATAAATGCAGGGGAGCCCCAAGCAGGGGCCGTGATCCCTGAGGAACAGCCCCAGTCTTACCTTCTCTTGTTTTTGTTTTTCACTGCATAATACTGTCAGAGTGTTTGTGATCTTTTTCAAATCATCCACCTCCACTGCATCAGGGAAGGAAAAGGAAAAAAAAAAAGATTCCTGATCAATGTTGTTCTTCTAAGGCAGTTAAGTAACATCCACAGTCTCTAAAACTAGAAATAAGCATTAGTGTAACTATGGGCAATTACTTGATTTAAATCAGCAGAACACAGAGTGGGTGGTTCTGGTCCTTACAACCCCAACAAGAATTCCAGCTGGTTCCTTGGAAGCCTGAGCCTTGTAGAAGGTAAAATTTGCAAATAAAGTTACTGAACACAAGAGTCTTACCGAGACATTTGAGCAGTAAAATATGGAGATAGTAAAATACAGTAAAATGTATCAAAAGGAGCACTGGATTACCAATAAATGATTATGTTTATCAATAAATGGTGCAAGAGGCTGGGAGTCCCTCCTGTTAGGAGCTCTGAACCCCTGAGATGGAAGCTGCCAGCTGGGATGATGGATGTACCCAGCTCCTCCTGGGATCAAGTTACCCCGCACTGAAGGACAACTGGGTACAGGACAGGGAACCAGCCACCAGGGCATTGGGAAAAGGAGTTTAAATTACTTCATCTCTGTATAGTTACATGCTGAGTTCCAGAACAGTTAATCTGCAGTTCCAGAATTACATGAACTCAATTTTGTAATATTTTCCCGCCAAATGAGGTACTCAAATCATCTGCCTCAGAGAATCTACTCTTATTATTTCAGAAATGGCTTCAAGAAAAGCATGAAGGTTTTAGATGAGGATAAGAATTCACCCTTTATAGAGAGCTGTCTCTAACCAACATGCAGAAAGAGCAACCCTTGCACGAGGAGAGGCTCCTTAGTGGAGTTTGTGGAATGGAATCAGGCCAGTGCTTCATTTAGCACAAACTACCAGAGCAATCCCCTCTGAGCACCGTCCCAGCACGATGTCCACACAGCTGCAGCACAGCAGAGCTGGGGCTGGCTGCACTTACAGGAGATGCAGACGTCCCGAAGCAGCGCTTCCAAAAACCCGGCGTAATATAAGGACTTCTCGTACTGTGTGATCTTCTCCTTCAGCAGCTTCCCAAATTCCGTGAAGTCGTCTTTCGAAGAGGGATTCATGGCATCTATTCCACAAGTGCTATTTACACCTGCAGGGACAGGCAGGGCAGTTAGGAACGTGAGCTGTGAGCCCTAAGAGGGGACCCGGCTCCTCCCTCAGCCAGGGCCCATCCCTGGCCTCACAGGAAGGGAGTTTGCTGCAAAACTCAGTAATTTCATAGAATCCCTGAATAGTCTGCGTTGGAAGGGTTAAAGCCCATCCAGTGCCACGCTGGCAGGACAGGGACACCTTCCACTAGCCCAGGCTGCTCCAAGTCCATCCAACCTGATCTTGGGCACTTCAGGGATCCAGAGGCAGTCACAGCTTCTTCAGGCACCCTGTGCCAGGGCCTCCCCACTCTCACAAGGAACAATTCCTGCCCAATGTCCCCTCCATCCCTGCCCTCTGGCAGTAGGAAGCCATTCTCTCTTGTTCTGTCACTCCACGCCCTTGTCTGAAGTCTCTGTTCAACAAGTTTTGAAGCTGAGTCAAGCTCAGCAATCTGACCCAGCTATTCCTGTTCTCTGGACAACCTGCCCCAGGAAGCCCCTTTTTCCTCAAATAAACAATTCCTGCCTCAACCTCCTGAGTGCAGAACTCAGCTGGTTCTTTGCAGCTGTGCACACCCCCCAAGCTCTGTGACAACCTCCCCTGAACAATGAGCTGAATCATTCATTATAATTAAAGAAACTCTTCCACGTTTGAGGAACGCTGCTGTGCATCAGCATCTTTGCTACTTCTTTGTTCTCGGTGCCACAACTCTGTGTGCTGACAGCCAAACCCTGCTCATGCTTTGCAAGGTCCCAGGGGTTTATTTATTTCCTGCTGCTGGAACTCACCGAAGGTTTCCTTTGCCAGCTCCAGGTCTGACTCCTCTTGTAACTTCTTTAGCCGTAGTTTGTCTGCCAACTGTTCTTCTGGTGTGAGCTCCTTCTGTTCCTCGGGTGCCTCTAACTGCAGGGAGCACACAGGGAGAAGGTGGCACGTTACAGACATCACCCTGCGTCACCCACGGCTGCCTCGACTCGGGGCACCTGGAAAACCTGGACACCATCCCTGCAGTCTCCACAGATTGTTCATCTCACAAGAAATGGGAAGAAACACCAAACCCCTGCCTGCTCCATCACGTGCTGCACACACAGGACCTGGGATAGCACTGATCCAAGCACTGGTTAAACTGTGCAGGAATTAAAGCTCCCAGCCCCAGATGGGATCCTGTACAAGACCCAACTTTGGTTTACCAGATGAATCAAGACCTTCTCAGAGCTTGCTCAACCTCCAAAAATCCAAATCAAACCCACCCTCTGAATTTTATATAACACAGAAGAAATCAGGAGTTACCCTTTTTTTAAGCTCCTCTTGCTTTTTCTTCTGTAGCTTTTCTTTTTCTTTGATTTTTTCTGCTATTTTCTTTTTTTCTGAAACTTTCGGTTCTGTAAAGGGTGGAACAACAAACACAGCTCTCAGAAGTCTGATGATGTTTTTTTCCCCCACACAACCACAGAAACACTGGAAGCCACCGAGCTCAGCTCCTGAGCACAGAGTTAAAGACATTTCTGACAGTTAAAGACATTTCTGTTAAACCCAGCCCCGCTCAGGTTTGATCCTCACACACCCCAGACACAAGCAGGGTCTGTTCCCATGCTGATACAGAGCCAGGGGTTATCTCAAAGCCTCACCTTGTTTTACCTCTGTCTCCTTCACCTCCTCCTCTTCCTCCTCATCATCCCAGTTATCCTGCAAAACAGTGAAGATTCTTTTACAGATATCTGGAACCTCTTCCAAAGCCCACACACCCACTGAGATCTGGTATCAGAGTGAGGGAGCCATGGGAGCTGTACCTCAGGGCTTTTTGGAGCCGTCCATGCTGGCTGGGGCCAGTTCTTACCATGAAAAAGGCAGGTTTTAGTCAAAAAACCAGCTTGTGTCAGTAATTACAACAGCCAGATCACAAACAGCCAACCACCACTGACACAAACAGGACTTTATTCTCATTTCTGGTTTTGAGAGACAGAACATCACTGAGGGATGGGCACAGCACAGCCCACTGGAAACCCCCAGCCCAGCTGAAACCACGTCAGGCCAGCACAGGCTGTTCTGCCCCACACACCAGGGCCCCTCTCTGGGCTGGGAAATGCCTCCCTGGGGCTGCAGGGATTTTCTGGGAGGCTGCACCAGGGCAGTGGTGCAGAGCCCCACGCTGCCCAGGATGTGCTGATCCAAGCAAGGAGGCACCGAGTCCTTCCACCAGCTCACCTGGATAATTGGCACCTGCAGGGGACTCGGCTTCCCTTCCACATTCCACAGGCCTGACTTGAGTTTGGAGCAGCATTATTTTAGCTCACATCTAATTAAGTTTGCTACACCCACTGCTTAAATAGCTCCACTCAGCACTGAGGAGCTGCCTCAGCCCCAGCCTGGCCGGGCTGGGAGTCAGATGGAAAACTGGAGGAAGGGCAGCCTGGCCACGAGGGATCCATCCATGGCACTGGGATATCTGGGAGGGCACCTGGGCAAGGACTCCATGCCACGAGATGTGCCCCAACCCCATCCTGCCAGCCTTGCCTGGTTTATAAAGCCAGGGAAATCAACTCCTGCCAGCCAGGCCTGGTTTATAAACCCAGGGAAATCCAAGTCCTGCCAGCCTTGCCTGGTTTATAAACCCAGGGAATTCCAAATCCTGCCAGCCAGGCTGGGTTTATAAACCCAGGGAGCTCTCTTGGAGGAAGAGCCAGCTGCCTCATGCTGTGTCCTTGCAGTGATACAGTAATTCCCAGAGAACACATGAATTGCCCAGTATTTCAACACTGTTTCTGTGTCCTTCAGCAGCCCAGGAACATCCTGCCAGCAGCTGGGAGGCGGCAGGGACTGGGCACCGGCTCCCAGCTCCAGCCCAGCTCGGGATGGAGCAGGCACTGCCCCGTGCCAGCCCTGAGTCAATGGATGAAAATCCCCTGGCAGCAGGCCTGACTTCTGGGGAACTGTGCTGGGGAACACTGAGAGGAGTTTTGTTACCAAAGGTGCTAATTTTAAACCCGGGAAGCTGACGTTTCCCAAATTAACAGTTACTGCAAGTTCATTACCAAAACCCTTCCAAAACACAGATCTGCAGATACAAAGCACACTCCTCTATGTGAGGTGCCTTAGGAAAGCCGTGGCCACAAAAATTTGTGCTGCCACTTTAGCCCACGTCATCCCTCACGTGGGGATTTCCCCATGTGGGCCCTGCACTGAGGGATCCAGAGCTGAGCAGGAGTCTGGCAGGAAGAGCAAATCAAAGGGAAATAAACCCAAATAAACCACCTTTCTTTGCTGGATCCTCTCAAGACGCAGCTCTGGCACCAAACCCATCGTCCCTCAGAAATAGTCAAGCAGCTGCATCCTCACTACATGTAAGATGTAAAATGTCTTCCCACTGCCACAGGCAGGAATGGATGGGAGATTGGGAGGGATTGTTCCCTGGGAGGGTGGGCAGGGCTGGGAAGGAATTCCCAGAGCAGCTGGGGCTGCCCCTGGATCCCTGGAATGTCCCAGTCCAGGCTGGGCAGGGCTGGGAGCAGCCTGGGACAGCGGGAGGTGTCCCTGCCATGGCAGGGGTGGCACTGGGTGGGATTTAAGGTCCCTTCCACCCCAAACCACTCTGGGATTGCATGTGGGGAACATTTGTTCCTTTATTAAACACAGACCCCTCAGGTGACTCCAAGAGAAGCACTCTGGTGCAGTTCTCCTGGGCACATCCCATCCAGCAGGAACGCTGCTCACTTTCTAAGGAAGGAGGAAAGGCAAATGTCACAGTCTGAGCTCCAGGTGTCTGTGCACACCTGTCAGTCCCAGAGGGTCAGTCACACACATCTGTGTCACTCCCACACTCTTTCCCAGAGCCTGGAGCTGCTGTGCACACGCCTGTCCTTGTCCTGCTGCTCTAACCTGGCACCCGGAACCCGGGCTGGGGCTGCTGCTGAGTTTAAGAAGAGAAGTTACCAAATTTCTGTGATTCAGGGTTTTTAAAAGATTAACTTCTTTTCCTGTACTGTTTATGGGAAGAACTCCACCTGTCCCCAAGAAAAACTCGCGGTGCTTTTCAGAGATCCTGGTAACAGTGTCTTCAAAACCAACCCCAAGTCCTCACCCAGCGTTACAATGTGCCAGAGCTGGAGGAAACAAAAAGAACTTTTGTAGTTTCCTTATTCCACTGACAGAATCCCAGGATGGTTTGGGTCTGAAGGGGCCTCAGAGACCACCCAGCTGTACCCTCTGCCGTGGGTCGGGACATCTTCCACCCTGCCTGGCTGCTCCAAACCCTGTCCAGCCTGGCCTTCAGCAGCCCCTGGCACTATCCATACGGATCTGGAGGTTTCTGTGGCACCACCAGCCTGCCCGGGGAGTCCAGCAGGTGCAAACAGCCTTTGAGGGAAGCACCAGCAGCGATCATTCACAGCTTTTATCCCACTGCCGCGCGGACACCCCGGCAAGATGAGCTCGTGCTGAGCGGAGCAGGAAGATGAGGTGGAAGATCAGGAGGAAAAGACGCCCCGGTGGAGCAGAGCTCCCGGCCCGCAGCAGGAGCACCAACACAGCGCTGCCGTCCTTCAGCCCGTCCCGGCGCCTCGCCAGCGCCCCGAACAGCTCCAAGGGCTGCAGGCAGCGGGGGGACAGCGCCCCAAAGCCGGGAAGCGGCCGGGGAGCAGCCGGGGAGCAGCCGGGGAGCGGCGGGTGGGTCCCGCGGGGAGCGGGAGGTGCCGCTCCGGCAGTGTCTGCCCGACCCTCCCCGCCCGCCGGTCCCGGGACAGCGGCACCGGGCAGGGCCGGCCGGCTTCTCTTGGCACCGTGACGGAGCCCGGAGCCGCCGGCACCGGGAGCCCCCGGGCTGTCCGTCCCGGCCCCGCCGGTGCCGAGCCCCGAGCCCGCCCCGCAGGTCCTGGGGCAGCGGCTACGGGCAGGGCCGGCTTCTTTTGGCACTCCGACTTGGCTCTGTGATCGAGCCCGGAGCCGCTGCCGCGCTGCGGAGCCGCCGGCGCCGGGAGCCGCCGGCACCGGGACCCCCGGGCTGTCCGTCCCGGCCCCGCCGGTGCCGAGCCCCGAGCCCGGCCCGGAGCCGCGCACGCCGCCCGCCCCGCCGGGGCCCGCACTCGGGCACCACACGGCCGCGGCCCGGCCGCCCCCGCCGCCCCCAGCCCGCGCCCCGGAGCCGCCAGCGGCGGGGCCCGCCCGGCCGCACCTTCACGTCGTCCTCCTCATCCTCGCCGGCCCAGCGGTCCCCGGCCACCCCCGGCACCAGCCGCTTCGCCACCGGCTCCACCACCTCGAAGCTGTCGGCGTCTGTGGGGAGAGGAGCGCGGTGAGCGGCGGGGGGCGGCGCGGGGGCCCCGCGGGCCCCGGCCCGGCCCGGCCCCGCCGCACCCACCCCACGAGTCCGCCGCCTCCGCCGCCATCTTGCCCCGACCCAGGCCGCCGGGCGGCGCCGCGCGGGGCACGCCGGGACGGCGGCGGAACGACCGGGCCCGCCCCCGGGAGGCGGGGCCTGAGCGGCGCGCGGGAACGGGGCGGGGACGGGGCGGGGACGGGGGGAGGGCGGGGCCAGGGCAGGGGGCGGGGACGGAGAGGGGGCGGGGCCAGGGCAGGGGGCGGGGCCTGAATCGGTACCGGGAACGGGATCCGGAACAGGATCGGGATCGGGACCGGGAGCAGGACCGGGACTGGGATCGGGACCGAGATAGGGGCCGGGATCGGGAACAGGATCAGGAACGGGACCGGGATCGGGAACAGGACTGGGATCGGGAACGGGACCGGGATCAGTACCGGGAACGGGATCGGGAACGGGACTGGTGCTCGGAACGGGATCAGGATCGAGAACGGGACCGGGACCGGGACCGGGACCGGGACCGGGACCGGGATCAGGATCGAGAACGGGATCGGGAACGGGACCGGGATCGGGATCGGGATCGGGATCGGGATCGGGATCGGGATCGGGACCGGGACCGGGACCGGGATCGGGATCGAGAACGGGACAGGGACCGGGACTGGGACCGGGATCCGGACCCGGAGCCGGACCGGCCCTGGGACCGGCATCCCGCCGCCCCGGCCGCAGCCCGGCTCTGTCCCGGGGCAGCGCCCGGCCGGGAGCGGAGCCGAGCCGAGCCCGGCCGCCCGGACCTGCCGTTCTCCGGCACATCCCGGCACGGCCCGGCACGGCCCGGCACGGCTCGGCCCCGCCGCGCTCGGGCTGTGCGGGGCGCCAGGCTGCGCTTCCCCCCGTGCCCGTGAACAGAGGAACGGCGAACTGCGCACTGCTCACTTCTTCACCGCCAGCTCCAGCTCCCGAGAGAATCCCCGACGTGGAAGAGGAGGATACATTTGGTCTGAAGAGAATCAATTTAGAACGTGTCGTTCATAAACCAAATCAATGATCTCTGTATACGCCTGTATAAATCACACACGTGTGTCTAGGGAAAACACGAAGAAAAAATAGAGACTTCCAAAATTATCATCCTTTTCCTGTTCTCCATTCACCAGACAATATAAATAATAACAGAGCTATACCTACGGATCAAACAATGCCACAAGTTATATCCTCACCAAGTCTACACAGCTTCACAGCCTCAGGGTGCTGTGCAGATGATCACAAAATCACCAGGAACTGTGCAGTAATTTGGAATAGGTTAATACTGGAATATGTAATTTGGAATTCTAAGGAATTACACAGAACGTTTAAATTTTTCCTTGACAGTAAAACACAGACACAACTTCTTCCACTTCAAGGCTGAAAACTGACAGGAGCAATGTTTTATAGAAAACTGAGGCTCAGTGAAGGATGATACCAGCTAAAAATCATAAAAACAGAATCCAGAGCATAAGTGTTTAATTACATCTTTGTGCTTCTGTGGACTAGAAATGATTGCAGAAGAAACAGAAATCCATAGCACAGGACTTCTCTTCCCATATATTTAACAAGATTCGGCCCCATCAGTACAATGACATTTTTGCAAGTACCAAGAACAAAACCTCTCCTGAAGGTCCCTCCTGCCCCGGGGCTCTCCAGCAGCCCCAGCCCAGCCCTGGTGCTGCGATGCTGGGCAGGGCAGGGCAGGGGACGATGCTGGGCAGAGCTTTTGTCACAGCAGGGCTTTTGTCACCCTGCCAGGGTGGCTTCCACATTTCAGGGCTCTTCCCGAATCCGTCCCTTCGCCGGCAGCACGCGTGGCTTGGGAGATTCCCCATCCAGTCCGGGCACGTTCGGGCTCCTGCTACATTCAAACCCATGAAAATCGTCAGGTGGGTGACTCCAAGGCGGGGGAAGCAGGACCAGAGGCGAGGCTGTCCCAGGAAAAACAAAGCCTGAACAGGAACTGCCACCCAAGGGTTGGAGTGTGACTGAGCTGCCAGAACCACGGGGCTCCAACACGGAACAGAATCCACGGGGACACGGAAAACAGGTCACCACAACCCAGCACGGAGCACAGAGGCAATCATTCAGAACCTTGGAAATAGGATGCGGTGCCTTCCGTAAGGACAAACCATATTCCGTAAGGGATGGGTGATCCAGCTGCACGGTGCCCTGCTCGGGGGGCACAAGCCACACTGGCACCTGGCTGAGCCTGCCCCGGGCACGGGGGTGGCTCTGGGGACACAACCTGACCCAGAGCTCAGCACAGGATCAGGGAACTCCCCCTCGAGATGAGCGTGACAGAAATAAAACCCGTGGATGAAAACTCTGCTTCACACCAGAAAGGTTTGCAGGAGGCAGGAGCGCTCTGCAGAGTTCAGTGATAAACACCAGGCTTGCAGCACAGGGAAAGATGAATATTTAATATGTTTACTAAGAATCTCTGTCAGTCCCGTCGTGCACCGATGCAGAGCTACATCCCCACGTTTACATTCGGGTTTCCCTCGCGGATCTGACGGGCACAGCACGTACACAGCTGGAAAGTGCAACGTGCCTTTGGTTTCCTCAGCTCTGGAAGCACTTTTGGAAGGGCTGGAGCCACAGAGGAGCTGGGGATAAGGATGTTACTGGAACAGGTGAACATCCCATCACAGCTGGAAAAGGCCACGAGCTGCAGCTGGGCTCCTTCTGGCAGATCCGTGGATTTTACAGCAGCTCCGTGGTGCGGAGGAACCGGGAGGAATCCCCCGTTAGGCCAAGCTCGAGCAGGGAACCAAAACCCCTCAGACTCAGATTTACACGGCGAGGAACAAGTGAGGAAGGGCTGCAAAGCAAGGGGCAGCTGCACACAGGCTGCCCCTTCCAGAGTCCATCCATCCATCTCCCCACCAGGGGACACGGCTGCACCAAGCAGATGTAAAGGTAATGTTCTGTACATTTTATTTCAATAAAGACATAAGACAAACAGCGTAAAGATGCCCAGATGCCCTAAAGATAAATACATTTAAAAGATTCTCATTAAAATGAATCTGTAGTATTTCTTTCCTGCAAGCAAAATACCTTTCTTTAAATACAAAAAAAATCAGTATTCTGAATTGCAAACGTTTTCACTTTTTTTGCAGAAAATCTGCCATGATGACTTTGTTTTTAATGAATAAGGATTTTCCACAAAACAGGCTTGCTCTACATGCTAAGTTTTAACAGTTCAGTGACACCATGTGCTAGCTACATACACAACAGATAATATAGTAAGAAAACACTCAACCTGATGAAAAGTTAAAATCTTCATTAATACACTGGAAAAAGTTGACATAACTCATGCCTTTTAAAATCAAAAATACAAAAATTAAATGTTTTGCTAAAAAGATTTTCCTTATTTTAAGGACTCATTTGAAAATGAAGCTGCATGTAATTTGTACAATAAAATTGTACAAGTAAACAGGTAATATACATAAAAAATTAATTGACATACTTCTCAATTATCAGCTGTCCACCTTTAATTTCCAATACTGTACTTTCTTATCAAGCATACAAAATAGCAAACTTCTCTTTAGAAAAAGTGCCGTTCTGTGACATCTTTTACACAAAACCAGTCCGAGCCTGTGGCGTGGTAATGCAGTCGAGAGGCAAAGCTTCCTACCTCGTACAAATTCTACCTTCCATAGAAAGCCTCCGGGAGGGAAAGGCGACTCCCACGGCCAGGAAAGTCCCCTCGGGCGCTGCACTAGGAGCCAGGGCCGGGGGTGCCAGGGCAGCCCTGCCCCAGAGGAACCGGGAGTGTCACAGGAGCCCTGCCCGGCACACCTGCCAGGTGAGCACACAGCAGAGGTGAGGTATTCTTGTCCATCGTGGCGCCACTGCAGGTGTGCTCTGTCCAGAGGACGTGCCATCGCAACGCTTTAGGATATTCCCAATATTATAATCCTTATCTTCGTCTTATCTAGCCAGTCTCTTGATTTTTTTGAAAAGGTTTCGACTACAGTAGAATATTACAGAAAGAAAATATAAATGCAGGGTTTTTTTGTTGGTTTTTTTTTTCTTTTTTCTTTCTAAATGAAACTTACGTGGGCTAAAACTAGAGAATATTTTTAAACAAATATACAGGATGCAGGCAGACAAAGCAGGGAAACGGCCAGCCAACTGTTTAATAAAAAAACTAACAAAATTTGGCTATTTCCAGAAAAACTATGAAGCGCCTCAACTAAAAGGAATGCATAATGAAATTCTAATCTAATACAGGTCAAAAATGTAAAAAGGTTATAAACCTTAACAGGAAAAATAAAACAACTTTTACTGGCCATTCCTGTTGAAATGAGAATCTTAAAAGTAACAGAAAAGTGGCTACAAACCCACTTAGAGCACCGAACAGAGAGAAAATCCGAGTCCATTTTCAATCTCTGTTGTATCATAAAATCCTGTGTTTCTACAGGTCAAACTGCTGGTGGCAGAAACAGAATTTTCTTTATAAACTGCAGATGTCCTGTACATAAAAAATTTCCTTGGAGTTGCACTAGTTCTAAAGACTTTTCTGTTCTAGCCTCCCTACTGCGGGTACTGGATTGTACTGATGGCGGCAACCTCAGGTGCAGAAAGTCTCTTTCTGTAACCCTTGATCATTGTTGGGCACCAAAGATAAGAAAAGCAAGACGGGGTACAAAAATGCAAAATTTCAACAGTAATGGCAATGTTTTGTATTAGTCCAACAGGGTCCTGCATTTCCTCCCCTCGGCAGCGAGAGCAAAGGCTTTAATCGGGGGGTAGCAAATCATGCAAGCGAAATCTGTCTCTGATGTGAGGTCGGACGTCTTCGTTCTGTGGGGGAAAGGGCAGGTTTAGGAGCATAAACACAGCCAGAGCCCTCTGCAGCAGGGCTCCTCGCCTAGCACCCCTCTCTGAGCAGAGCAAACAGAAATTTCCACGCGTGAGGCCACTGCAGAGACCCACAGAAATAACTGCACAGCATCCACAACAGTTGAGGAGGGATTTATCGGCCCTTCAGGAACAGAGAACAGCACAGCCAGCCACGGGCACTGTGGCACCAAAAGGCTCAGAGGGTCCCCGTTTCCTCAGGACTGATGTCACAATCCCACAGCCCTGCGCTTTCAGCACACTCAGCAGAGACAAGTCCCCTTCTGCCCTGGATCTTCAGCAGCCTCAACCTCAGTGACTCAGAAACCCTTAACAATAGCTGAAAATATCAAAGGAACTCACTGACAGTTCTGGGAAAAGCCACGAAAGCAAACACTTACCAGCTCTACTAGTTTCTCCAGAAATGGAATCAACTTTAGGAGTTCATTATCATTTTTATCCATGAACCAGCTTTCTATAGGAATTCCATTGGAAAGCTGAAGTTAAAACATGAAAAAAAATCATCAACACGCCATTTATATTTAATTTATCTACAAATAAGACTTGTGAAAGAGCAACTGGGGGAAAAAATGTTTCCAATTTAGAGATTCCTGTGTGTTATTCCCACAGTTTGGTTTGCAGGCTTCAATACAAAGTCCCAAATTTACATTTCCCTGTCCCCCTCAGGAAGTTGTGCCCCCCTGAGGTGTCTCCTGCCCCAGCCCCTCACCTGGTAAGCAAAGGCTTGCGGTGAATTGTCGATGATGATGGTTTTGGAGAGGTCTCTGCCCAGGATGTTTAAATCCTTGATGTAATTCCCTTGTACACACACACAATGCTCACGGAAGAGTCGATGCCTGCCGTTAAAGGAAAGCACTGAGACCAAGGACAACATCCACCCTGCACCAGGAGCACACAGCTTTGCCAAGCATTATCCAGTTTTTTCCTCTTCTCATCTCCTGTTAGAGAATTGTGCCCCTTTTCTGCTCTCTCTAGAGCTTTTTATGGGTAAAATGCCCAGATCAGGTGATTTTGCACTAACCCAGTTCTGGGGTGGGTGTTGGTACTTATTCAGGCTCTTCTTTCTGACCCCTTTCCCAGACAGGCCAACAAAGGGACCCAAGAACACCCCAAGGATCTGCATGCCCCAGGTGCTGCACAGAGCCAGTTTATTGGGGTTTATTATCCCTTTATTCTGTCCCAGAATAAAGAAAGGGGCCTCCCTGTGCCACCTCATGCCAGAACACAAAGTGTCACAAGGAGCATTTCCTTTCCTGTTACACCTCTGCTGGCAATTAACCTATTTCACTTGTTACACCTCAAAAAAAAAAAAAACCTCTGGGCCAAAACATCCCACCAGTTCCTTCCTTTCCCATTAGGGCCAAAACATCCCACCAGCTCCTTCCTTTCCCATTAGGGCCAAAACATCCCACCAGCTCCTTCCTTTCCCATTAGGGCCAAAACATCCCACCAGCTCCTTCCTTTCCCATTAGGGCCAAAACATCCCACCAGCTGCTTCCCTCACCATCAGCCTGCTGCTGTGTAGTTCATGACAGAAGGAATGGATGCACTGACTGAAAGGACTCTGACTGAAAACGCAGCAGGAACAAGTCTCCCATTCCCTGGCAGCTGCACAGAACTACAGACTGTGAAGCAGGCAGGCTTGGTGCAGCCCGCCCCAGCGCAGAGCAGCCCCTTGCAGGCTGCCTGTGTGTTCAAACGCAGAGCTCAGAGCTGCACACAGCGTGGCTGATTCCAGGCAGGAGCTGAGCTCCCCACGTTGCCATGGAGGGAAAGGAGCTGCTGCATTTATATATAGAGCCTGAGTCACACGTGTGGGGCTGCTGGCAGAGCGGGGCACAGCCAGCCCAGCCCAGCAGCAGCACAGCAACACCCTGCAGGTCCCAGCCCCTGCCCGCTGCCTGCCACGGCTCTGCCCTGTGCCAGCAGCAATCGCAGCCCTGCACCTCTGCAGTGTCTGCAGGAAGGTGTGACACGAGGGCACAGCCCCACAGCGTGTTCTGGAGTGCCAGCGCCCTCCTGGGCACCATCCTCGGGGCTGGCACCACCAGGGAGGGCTTCCCTGGCCTGGACACCCCACACAGAAACCAATTTGGGTCCAGCACTGCCACGTACAATTCCCCTGCCAGTCAGAGTGACAGAATCTCACCCCCGGAATTTCCTTCTGCCCTAAGGAACTGGAAAGGCAAAACTCTTCCCAACAAAGCTCACTACTGAGAAACGACAAACCAAACCAGCTCCAACACAAAACCAACAGACAAATCATTTTGTGATTGAATGCGAATTAAAAGCATACTGATTACAAAAGCTATACAAATCACAATTTATACTAAATAACTGAAGTTATTAAGTGAAGTTTAAAAGTAATCAGGAACTGATTTAATTTCATTTCTTTGCAGTGTGTATTCCAGAGCACATTTTTGATCCTCAAGAGGTCATTTCCCATGAGCCAACCTAACAGAGACTGAACAGGGGTTTTGATCTAGGGCTATTTTACCACAAGGCACCCATTCCATCACTTCAGGCTATTTTTCTCCCTCTTAGCCCAGGCAAACCCCCAAGGGATCAGTCAGGGACACCCTGCAGCAAGTGGGCAGGCACAGGACTCAGTTTGCTCACAACATTGTTCTGGTTTTACCTGACCAGCTGCTTTTTGGGGTCCAGGATGTTCAACAACTTGTCTGCATACACCTTCTTAGAAGCAGTAAACAGAATGATCTGGGGATTGGAGGGGAAAAAGTCACCACTGGAGGTACAAGGAAGTGGATACAATTTAAAAATGAAATTCAAAGGTGGTTGTGGGAAATGAATTTGTAGAAAAATTTTAAACTTTGATAGGAGGTTCTTATAGTGTGTATTTGCATGTAAACTTTGAGATAAGAAATGTTGACTTAGAAATGTTATGGAATACGACAGATATTGTCGAGAGAAAAATGGAATATGAAATAAGTTTTAAAAGGTGGTTTTGTAAATAAGATTAGATATTTTGGAGAACTAGAATTATGAAAGATGCATTGTAGCAAGATTTATAAGGGGTAATTTTAGATGATTGGTTGTAAGGTATTTATAGTATGGTGTGGGTAAAGTTGATAGGTTAAGAAATGCTTACAGTGTATTGTAATTAGGAAATAGTTGGTTTTTGACTGTAATGGTGTGAATTATAACATTTGTATTCTTTTACTTTTTATACGAGATTGAGACTAGAACAAAAGTTTTTAAAATGTTTTTTAGTTGTTTTATTTTTGAGATAGAAAAGGGTTTGATCTGATAAACTGCTGTTTAGTGTGAGGAATAAGGGTCTGACAGCAAAGTGACAAAGAGAAGGGATTGTGCCAGCTTTACCTCGTAGATCTGAGACATGCGCTCCAGGAACTCTCGGAAGAACGGCCTTAGCCGGACGTACACCTGCAGAGAGAGGGGCACTGCATGGGCACTGCACTGCACGGGCACTGCACGGGCACTGCACGGGCACTGCAGCCTCCCAGCCCACACCCAGGCTCAGCACACACACACACACACACAGAGCAGGGCTCAGCCTCCTGTGTAACAGCACCCCAGCAATGCCCCAGCAGCTCCCAGCCTCAGCAGCTCAGGGGAGCAGTAACACACTGACATCAGCCTCAACATTCTGCTGGAAAATTGGATAGAATTAGGGGAAAAAGTGGCTAAAATACAGAAGTTGGACAATCTCTACGTTAAAAATGAAATTTGGTTGCTTTGACCTGACTTGGCTCTCACCAGCAGGGCAGCACCAGCTCAAGCCCTGGATACAAGAAATAAATCCTCTTCTTAATAACCACCAACGATTACCTGAGCCTGGGGATGTCAGAGTGATTTAAAAAAGGCTTCAGCTGTTTCTGTATTTCCATAAACTCAACCCCCACCACCTGCACAGAACTGCACACACAGAGGAACCGTTCCCTGTAAGGAACTGTGGAGTCACAGGAGACCCCAGCCAGGAGGGCTCTGCCTCCCTCTGACTCCAGCACAGGATTTGGGCTCAGGGGAGGAGCTGCAAAGGGAACAGCTTCAGTGAATAGAAAATTTCCTGCCAGATCTGACACCTGCAGTTTGTCACCAGGCAGGTGCAAAATGCCAGGCTGCTGCTTCTCCCTCTTCAAACAAGCTGAGAACAACTGCACACAGCCAGGATTCCCACAAAACAAAATCAAAAAGTTTGGTTTTCTCTGTTTACCTGGTAAATGACATCTTGAAAAAGAACTGGAAAAGTGAGTGCAGCATCTTCTAATTCGTTTAGACTACAGTGCACTAATGTTTCATCCTAGGGAAAAAGTTACATGAAAGAAAGAAAGAGTGTGAAAAACAATGTAGAAAACAGAAGCTGTTTTCTGCATTTTATGCTCATTTTAAAGCAGGTTTATTTAGAATGGAAACTGTACTTTTGTGCAAGTGCTGTCAAGACTGAGGAAAATTCTTAGGATAAATTAAACATTTCATTATTCTTGTAATTCTTTAAAATTTTCACTAAAACTGTGTGCTGGGGGTATAGCTGTAAATGGATATTTTATTTTGTAGGCTCTTCTCTCATTCATTTCCAGCCTGTATCTTTGAGTGTGAATAATCCACCCATTCCCATGATCACAGGGATGGCCCAACTGATGCTGCTCAAAAAATCACACCACCACTAACAGGGTCTAAAACAACTTTCAAAACAGAGACACTGAAACAAATCATCATAAAGACAAATATATCTGACAAGAGTATTTTGAAAAGTGGATTTGTGCCCTTTAAGAATGTTCTAAAAAGTAAAAGTTTAATTTTTCATCAGTCTTGATGAAAGACACTCATAACTGAATTTTCCTATTTATTCCCCTCATTTTTCCCACCCTGGATTTAAGGAAGGTTTATGGGGACAGATAAATGTTTGAGATGTTAAAACTGTAATGCTTTTCTTTTTTTAAAAAAGCAGGATGCAAGTATTTGACAAACGCAGCTCACATTCTATTCCTACCACAATTAATTCTTTTTCAACTATTTTTAACTAACATTATGCAACATCCAACAGTCTCTGTTTAAAGCAAGCAGAACTGATTTCCACAATGAACAAATTAAGGGAAATGCTCCATTCCCCTGCTCTGGTTTGTGTTTATAAAGATATTTACCAAGTCTAGAACTAATGAGAACTCTGGTGTGCTTCTGGTTTTCAGTGGGAGAGCTGGCTTCCTGTTCAGCTGCTCTTCTGTTAGTGGGGGGACATGTTTGATGAAATAGTATCTGAAAAGACACAGATTTTGCTGTAAAAATGTACATTATTGAAGTGCAATGCTGTAGCCCAACTTAATATTTGAAATATTTATGGCACAAGAAGTAAGTATTTTAAACTGAAATAAACCCCACATGAGCATACATGTACTTTTTTTTAAGCTCAGAGCTTTTGGAGTTCATTATCATAACATAAAAATGATCCAATTTAAATAGAAGCATCTTAATTCCAAGTGATTAATTTACACCCCAGATGATTAATTTACTATTTCCAGTAGAAACACTGGCACTTACGGATCAAAGACTTCCCAGTCCTCTTCATAGGTGGCTTCTGCGTGAGCTGATGAGTAGCCACTGTCTGGAGATACTGGTGCTGAAATTCAATGAAAATGACCAAAACAAAAAATAAAACAAAAAACCACAAGAGCTGGTCTTATTAGTGCAGTTCTTTAAAGGGACAATTTGCACTCGAGACACGAGGGAGGAGAACAGTGGCAAAGCCTCCCTCCAGCCCCACTTCCCCTGCTCAGAGGTCACATCTACCCCCTGCTGCAAAGCTGCTCATCTACAGAGCCTGCAGCTCTGGGGAGGGCTTAGCTCAGGATTTGATGCTGCCCATGCACACAGAAGCTGAATTTTTGTCAAAACAAGATGTTGTCTTCTGAAGAAAACGCGGAAAATGAATGGAAGATCTGTGTGTCTCTCATTTACCATGTTGTTCTAATACAAGATATCAAAATGCAGCCAACTTCTCTCTGGAGTTCAGCAAGTCCAGAGTGTGCAAGCTCAGTGTTAATAATAATTCCTTTCCTCTGGAATCTCTGCTTCCATGAGAAGAAGAGTTATGAGGCCACCTGAGTTATACCAGGACTAGGTAAGTCCTGCCAAAACTGTGTCTTTGGTGCCTAAAGCAGATTTGCCTACCAACCATAAATCCAGTATTAACACTGTTTGCACACCCCAAGGGAAGGTGGATTCAGAGTCCCTGCCAAGGAGCTGGATTCCCTGGGATCAGCCTTTCCCTGTCCCCTGGCACAGTCCCTGTCCCTCACCCAAGGGAAGGCAGAACATGACTCCCAGCCGAGGCGCTGCCCCTGTACCACCTTTCCCTGTCCCATCCCTCACCCAAAGGTGGAACACCAGTCCCAGCTGAGGCGCTGTCCCCATACCACCTCTCCCTGTCCCACACACAGTCCCTGTGCTGTCCTTTACCCAAGGGAAGGTGGGACACGACTCCCAGCTGGGGCGCTGCCCCCGTACCACCCTTTCCCTGCCCCATCCCTCATCCAAAGGTGGAACACGACTCCCAGCCGAGGTCCTGCCCCCATACCACCTTTCCCTGTCCCATCCCTTACCCAAGGGAAGGTGGGACAGGACTTCCAGCTGAGGTGCTGTCCCCATATCACCTTTCCCTGTCCCATTCCTCACCCAAAGGTGGAACACGACTCCCAACTGAGGCGCTGCCCCCATACCACCTCTCCCTGCCCCATCCCTTACCCGTCAGTGGGGGCAGGTCGCGGTCCCCCGGCTCCTCAGGGTCCCCCAGGCCGTTGTTGAGGGCCCTGCCCTGCGCGCCGGGCGCGGGGAAGGCGGCGCCGTTGGTGGAGGTGGCCGTGCTCGTGGTGATCTCGTCCACCTGCTCCATGTCCAGCTGCTTCACGATCTCCTCGGCCTCCACGGCCTGGCCCGGCGAGTCGGAGCCCGACGTCCCTGAGGGACATTTCCAAACCCTCAGGCTGAGCCCCCGTCGCAGTGCTCAGCTCCTTCCCAACCCCACACACAGCCTCGGAATAATCAGATACCTGCACGGATTCGTGCCGCAAAAACAAGAACCAAACTGAAGGCCAAGACAATGACTTTAAAACATGTCTGGGACAAGAAATGCAATCCCTTTTTTTTTCCTTCCCCTTATTTGTTTTTTACTGAAAGGTGCACCACTAAATAAACCTCTGAAAGAAATGTTCTAATGCTCCTAAATTTCTTTCATTAACCATCAACCCACCCAAGAATGAAGAAGCCTTTTTGCCCGACAGCAGTAACTCTTGGTTTGTAAACCAGCATGAAAAGTGTACCGTCACTCAAAGCAGCTATTTCATACAAAAATTTATTTTCACACTCAGCTTTAAGCTGTTTGCTTTTTGAATAATACTCACCATTTTTATTTGCTGGTGAAAAAAAATTGAAAACAGGAGAAAATATGGTTCCCAGTAACGTTGTTCGTGGGGGACTGCCTGTGGTGGGGTTATCTTCCAATTTTCCATTTTGCTTTACGTGTTGGTTCGTCATCTCATAACTTCCAGCTTCTGGAAAAGAAAAAAATGAGTTTTAACACCACCCACCCAGCTGGGCTTCAGGTGCCTCTGTTCCTTTACAGTCAGCATTTGCTCTCTAGGGGTGTACTCTTATTCATGGCCCAGCTGGGTCCATGAGAGTCAGCAACTTTCTACCAGCATAAACCCAAAATGTCCATTCTCAGCACGCCCAGAAGCTTCTCTCCAGACACACACAGATTTGCTCACACAAATACACAGGTGGAAATCCTGGCAGTGATTTGGTGGAGCTGCCAGGACTCCACTAGAGGGAGGCACGAGAAAGGGTCACAGCTCCCTGGCTCAGCCTCAGCTGCTCCAGAGCCCAGCCCTGCTCCTCTCCACACACACACAGGGGCACAGACACACCTCCAAGGGAAAGGATTGCCAGCTGGTATCACACAGGACAGAATTAAATGAACACCCATGTTCCAGAGCTGACACATAACAAGGGTGATCTCTCATGCCACAACTCAAATCCCCATCTCACAACTCTGACAGAAACCTGCCTGTGTTTGACAAGTGCTCTCAGCATCTAAGGACACCTGCTTACTTCCACAGATGTCAGGAGCTGGGAGGTCACGTTTCCCTTTTATTTGTGAGAAAACGGGAGAAGAGCTAAATCAAATGATTATGGGACTTTCAGAATAATAATTAAAAACAACAAAAAAAGTTAAATTAGCTCCAAAGCAGCTGCTGCTGACCCGCAGTGCTCTCACAGAGACACAGTGGCAGTGTCTGGGGCTGGAAGTGCTGCTCACACCGCTGGCAATCCTGTTTTGCTGTGACCAGCTCTGAAGCCAGGCAGAGCCCAGCGGCCTGTCCTGCTGCAGCACAGGCTGGAGGAGGCAGGGCTGGGCGGTGGCAGAGCCCCCCTGGCCTGCAGGGAATGTGGGCACCACCAACCTCCGTTGAGCTGACTTTTCCGCCGCACGCGCGAGAGCTGCTTGTTGGGCTTCTCTCCCGTCTGGGGGGTGGAGGTGATCAAGTTGTTGTCGATATCCCGCTCAATCCGACTCCTCTTGGGGGGATTTTCTCTTTCTTCCTTAAAACAGAAAAGAGGGAAAATAACAATGTGCTGAGCAGCGCCTTTTTCCATGGAGCAGACCAGAGTGTCACCTCCTGGAGAAAGTTCACCAAAGATCCTTTTACTGCTCCACCTCCAGGTGCAGAATGCACAACAAGTGTCTGGCCAGCTGGGATTTTACATCAGTTTAAACTAAGTCCAAGTATGGGGAATAAAAACTCTACGTGGAGCTGCTGTAGTAGAAAAATTGTCTTTACAGCCAATCTATAAATATTCCAGTGCTGCAGATGCTGGGAAATGCAGAGGCAAAGCAACTAAAATTACCTGAAACTTGGTTTCTCTGCCTGCTAAATACACAGGAGGTGAACTGCCCAACAATATCCAATGTGACAATCCGTATCAGTACAGGGCAAAACTGAGCTGTGAAAAATCCAAGGATTCTCCTTACCTGGGAATAAGTGACTGCCACAGTCATGGGAATGAGACAGAATCAAACAGTTTTGCACATGTGCATGGCTGTATGTGCAGGCACACATTTATGGCAAGTTTCTTACCCTTTTCCCCCAAAACACCTATGACAAGTCGATAAAATGTTGAAATTTTATCAGATTTTTATTTATCACAGAGCTGATCTGGGATACATTGTAAATTAGTGCTGACTTCCTGGATACTCTTCTTTTGAATCTGCAGTTACATAATGGCAGTATCTGAACGGCTGAGATGGATGATGTGGGGTTTTTAACTGGCCTCCATCTAGAGAAAAAAAAGCCAGTTTTTGAAGGAATTGCAAGGTTACATTCAGCCTATCAAAGTTTATATATATATTTTTTTTTAATATATATGTATGTGTTTGTGAATATATATTTTTCAGCTTCACATGTCCATGCAGCACATGCCACAGGTGTTCACATGTGCAGACCAGTAAAGCTCAGCTTTCTAGCTGTACCAAGAGATGAAATTTCACGGTTTTCCCCACCAAGATCTGGATCTGGATGTGATGCTCCAAGCAGGGAAGTGCTCACTGCAGGAATCCCTGAGCAGCTGCATCAATTCCATGGCACTTGGATTTGTGAGGTTTGGCCTTCATTGATTAAATGACTCCTAAACAATTTTAAATAAAATTGCCAGAAATAGTCAAGAAATTAATGCTTACAGAGTGGCTTTCGTAAGTTGTTAGTACTGGTAATTCCTTGAATCTAGATCCAAGGAATCCTTAAAATAGAAATTAAGAATGTACTGAATTTATTTGACATTTTCACAAACACCAGGCAATAAAGCCTGTGATTTATTGGACTATTAAATACACCTACAATCGACTCCTGAAGGTCTCAAAGTCTGCTTTACCTGACACAACTCAAAGGCACTTGCTGCCTTCCAACTCTTTACGTTTTGCTTCCACCACATGATTAATTCTTAACAGAACCGGTTTTCAATCAAACTTGAGGTGATTCTGACCCACTTGAAAGCAAAGCAGGGGCCTGCAGGCAGCGTACCTTGGGTGTGCTTCCTTTAATGAATTTTTTGATCGAAGACAAGAGGCCCGTCTCATTTTTGGGAGGCTTTCCCCCGCCGCCAGGTAAGGGCTCCTCCACCTCCGAGTGTTTCCGCTTGGCCCGCAGCGCCCGCTGCGTGTGGAGCTGGTTGGACTGCTGGGAGGCTTTCCGTGTCCTCAGCCTCATCTTCATGGGTACCACATGGAAAGCTACAAAGGGAAAAGCAGGAATCCCACTGAGGAAACGTGTTCGTGCTGCAGCTGAAGGGATCTGAAGGGAGATGTGAGGCTGGTGGCGCTCCCGGCGCGCTCCAGCACAGAGCTGTGTGCTCAGGGAGAGCACCACGCTGCCAGGGAACAAACCATGGAATCTGGGCATGGCTGCAGCACCCAGCACATCTACAGATACAGCACCCAGCACACCCAGGGGTACAGCACCCAGCACATCCACAGATACAGCACCCAGCACACCCAGGGGTACAGCACCCAGCACCCAGCACACCCAGGGGTACAGCACCCAGAGCATCCAGGGGTACAGCACCCAGCACATCTACAGATACAGCACCCAGCACACCCAGGGGAACAGCACCCAGCACATCACTGAGCCTGGCTCAGCCCTGGCTCAGCACCCAGCACGTCACTGACCCTGGCTCAGCACCCAGCACATCACTGACCCTGGCACAGCCCTGGCACAGCACCCAGCACATCACTGAGCCTGGCACAGCCCCCAGCACATCACTGACCCTGGCACAGCCCTGGCACAGCCCCCAGCACATCACTGACCCTGGCACAGCCCTGGCACAGCACCCAGCACATCACTGAGCCTGGCACAGCCCCCAGCACATCACTGACCCTGGCACAGCCCTGGCACAGCCCCCAGCACATCACTGACCCTGGCACAGCCCTGGCACAGCACCCAGCACATCACTGAGCCTGGCACAGCCCCCAGCACATCACTGACCCTGGCACAGCCCTGGCACAGCACCCAGCACATCACTGACCCTGGCACAGTCCTGGCTCAGCACCCAGCACATCACTGACCCTGGCTCAGCACCCAGCACATCACTGAGCCTGGCACAGCCCTCCAGCTGGGGCAGGCAGGAAAGCCCATCCTGCTCAGAATGACAGAGCTGCCTAGGGTGGAAAGCACCTCTCAGGTCATCGAGTCCAACCTGAGAACAATCACACCTTGTCAACCAGCAGGGCGTCACCTGTGCTGATGAAAGCACTGATTGTAGGCTGCCTGTTGTCTCCAGCCCCAAATCACCCCAGTCCGTGACCCAGGAAGCTCTTTCCTCTCTCTGCTCCTCAAAATGCTTCACTGCAAGTCTCCACATTAAACTTGAGATGAGACCTAAATCTAAATTCCCGTTGAGTCTCACAGAAGGAAGCAGGAGCCTGTGCACCCAGAGTGGGTGAGGACAGGAGCCCAAAGTGAGCTTCAGTGCAGCTGAGTCTGGGAATCACACCAGGCCTTGGGAACACTCATGCAAGGGCAGCATTCACTGAAGCAGAGTGAAAGAGCATTCCAGGGAATGCATCCCATTTATCTCCAGCCTCCAGGTGGGCTGCTGGTGCTGTCACACCGAGCCTCAATGTCACTGTTCTCTGGGCTGGGGACGTGCCCTCTGCAGCTGCCTGGAGCTGGGCTGCTTTGAAGGGGACTCCTTGTGCTTAAAATCAGGCTTATGATGGATCAAGAGCACAAAAATGAAGTAGCAAGAAATCCATCTGAGCTGTAATGCACAGAAATATTGGAAATAAAGTAATTTGCCTTTCCTAGCTGAAATCATGACAAAATCCAGTTTTTTAAAGAAACTGTATGCTTATCACTACAGGAATCAGTGCCTGCCTTTCTGGAGTCCATTTAGTGTAGATCTGATTGCTGCATAGACAGAATAAATACAGCATTTAACACGTAAGTTTCCTTTCTGGAGTCCATTTAGTGTGGATCTGATTGCTGCAGAGACAGAATAAACAATCTGCAACATTTAACATATAAGTAATGTCACAACAGGTACGTTGCTCAGGAAAAGGCAATGGTGGCACTGGGATGAGTCACAGACAGGGAAATACTGATAAAGTTTTTGAAAACCTGTTACACAGCTGTGTTTGCTCCCAGTTAAGCCTCAGGCTCACACAAAGGTGCTGCACCTAAGGAGGAATGACCCAGGTACTGACACTGCTGTGGGGCTCAGCCAGGAAAGTGCTCTGGGGGTATTGCTAAGGGTGGGACGTGATGTTACACAGAATTACTGTGTAATTCTGTGTAATTAATGGAATATTCACTGCCAGCAAACACGGCTGTCCTTTTCCACAGGTCCATGCTCAGCACTTCCAGCAGTGGCCAGCACTGGAGGAGTCCCAGCAGTGCCACCTCAGGGGATGGGCACTGCCCTGGGCCTGTGCCCACGCTGCTGTATTGACCGCACGAGACAAATGTGTGTAAAAAGGAATTAAAACTGCAAACCTGGAAAGGAGACAGACACTAGTGGAATTCCAATGTGGGAATGAAAATATTACTTCAAATTTGCTATAGTATAAGTTGCCTGATTTTTCTAGAATCGAAACAAGTATCAGTCAGACAGAAGATGAACCAATAAAATACCTGTCAGTGGTGAGTACACATTTATGCAGCAGGGAAACGCTCAGCTCCTCAGTGCAGCCCTGCCAGGGACTCCTCTGGCTCGCTGCACATGCTGGGTATCAGGCCTGGGGTTATAAATATCTCTAATGGACTTAGCAACAGGTACCTACAATCCTCTCAGAGACAGGAGTTTGCTTTCCTAGCCCTGGATCCACTTGGCAGGAGAGCTTTTATTGAATTATAGTCGTGGTTCTTTCCTGAACCAGGCTACAAAACTTAACGCAGTCAAAATAATCAAGTCTAAACATGTCGGAGAATTTCCTTCCTCAGAGCTGCAGGATTTGGATTTCCCCAGCACATGCCACCCCTGACAGGCTGACCAAGGACCTGAGGCTGGCACTGCCACCTCCACTGTGGCAGGGAGCCTGGCTCAGGAAAATCAGCTCCCAAAACTCCTTCTCTCTCCAGTTACTTCTACACTTCCTTACAGCGAACCCAGAAAGAGTGGGGGAAAAAAGGAAAAATCTTGTTCTTCAAGAGAGAATTACATGGCAAAGAAGGACTAAAAGGAATATCCACTCAACAGTTGTGGGACAGGAAAAGAAAGTGTAGGAGCTCTTAAGAAGCATCAGCTGAAGGAGCTGTGGCTACCATAAATTCCATTTTCCTGAGTCCACACACACCAAGTGTCAGGCTCCCTACCTTGAGAATACTGTTGTTATTCCATGGCCCAGGTACCCTGTACTTACAGGAAAGAAATTCCTATGAATGACTCACATTTCAAACTGAGAGCACACCTCCACGGAATCTGCATTAGGGATGGTTTATTTCACATATGACACTGCTGTTTTCTCTACTTTCCACCAAACTATTAAAAGGAAAATTAGGTGAGGCACATCTAATTACAGGGTTTAGGGCTTTCTGATACAGGAAAAGGTTGGAGATGCTAAAAGAACAATGGTGAAGAACAATAGGAAGAGATAAGTGACAAGAAAATTCCAAACTCTGGTGTTGAACAATTTCTCCATTCAGTTTGGCACTCAGGAAGAACACTGAACTGCCACCACAGAAATCAATCTATCCCAAGGCTCCACACCACAGCAGCTCCAGAGCACTCAGACAACTTGAACATGTCTGGAGTGTGACTTTGGTGACAGCAACTCGGGAGGTGAAAAACTTCTATTTACTTATCTGGGGTTTTTCTTGGAACACTTTTTAAGCAAAGCCAAGAAAGTAAAATTTTTAAGGATTTATAAATTTTGAGCACCAACACGTGGTGTAAATAGAGATGGAGACGTGACCAACTGCACAAAGCTGTGACCTGTCCCCACAGCTGTGACAACGGAGGGGTTTGAAAGGAGGGAGAGGCAGGCTCGGTGTCCCTGTCCCTGCCAGCCCAGCTGACACACACCTCCCTGCTGGGAAGATGTGTGTGCTTCTTTCAGGCACTGCTGGATCATCAGGCAGGCCCCTGAGGAACAGGAGCAGATATTTTGCTCAGTTTCCCTCCAGACAAGTCATGCCAGAGGTGTTCTGTCAGCACGTCTCAAGGCTGTGATGAGACCCAGATTTCAGGGTGAGGAACAGCCCAAGGAGGAGGTGTGCTCCAGAGCTGCTGGGATCCATCCCTCGGTGCTGGGATGCTTTCAGGAACCCCCAAAGCCCTCACACACCTCAAGGAAATGCTCTTTGTTAGTTCAGCATCTAGAGACTCTGCCCCTTCAATGACTCTTGGCCATTTTTAACCAACTTTCTCTCTTTCCCTAGAAAATTACAGCCATTTCATGTCACTCCAGCAGATGTATTCCGTATTTTCCAATGTACTGCACTACTTGTCACTCTTCTCCAATCTTTAGGCGTGTTTTTCTGCCACTGCAGAACTGAGAGAGCAATAAACCAGGAAAGCCTGACTCAAAGCAGTCTGGAAGTGATGCTAGTCTGGGGTAGGTGAAAGCTAAATAAAAAGGCACTGATTTATTAAAATATCAAATCACCCAATATGCACTATTCATATGTTAGTGCTGGGTTATGAGAACTGGATAAATGTATAAAGCAACCATGAGTTACATCAAAACAACAGTAAGGAATTACAACTATCAAAGGCACCTCTACATTCTCCCTGTTTCACTGAAAGCCTGTTTTCTGCTCCTCCCCACCTTCCAAAGCTCCAAATAATTTCCATCTGAAACAAAATCTTGCTTGAAATCCCTGTTCTTCAGTTGCCCTGTTCGAATGCTGATCCCTCAGGACCTTGTGCTCACTTCTACTCTCCCGAAGTTTGAGTATCACCCCTAAAACAACCCCATCCTTAGGAGGATTTTGCCAAAGAAGGATGGCAGCATTTTACAATTGGCCTAAACAGAAAATACGTAATTTGTTGCTTTATTTTTCTGCTCTAGCCATCATATTTCTGTTTTGCCATTGCTTTGCTAGCGAGGTTTTGTTTTGATTATACCAAATGCATTTGGAACTGAAAGTTTACTCCCTCCCAGCCAAGATATTTTTCTCTTTGCACTGAGGGCACACGCTGGTAATTAATTTAGGCTTTCCAGTTTGTGTCACACGGAGGAAGGAGGAAACTTGGAGGACCGGGGTAAGCACGGGACAGCAAACCTTGAGCAGA